GGGCCCGGTCTGGCCGCGCCTACGCGCCGAGCCCTGTCCGCCCTGCGGTGGGTGAGCGCGGCCGCAGCGGCCGCTCCGGTGTTCCGGTTACTTAGGGGAGCACAGGCCTTCAGGGCCAGCCCGCGGGCTTCGGCAGAAACAGTTCTTTGGGTTTATATTCTCACTTACACACTGATTACATAACTCACCTGGTGGAGACATACAAGCGCTTCATCAGGAGAGGGTTACAGCTTAGTGCCCTGGGCGTGCTGGGCTTCTGTGCTTGTTGGGGCCAGGATCTTGACGGCACACCCCACAGCCCTCAGGGATTGCAGCACAACCGAGGTGGAGGCCGCTGTCATGCGCTCCTTTTCATAAAAATACTGCCCTGGTTTTATTAGAGCCATGCTTAGGGCTGTGTACCTGTGGAGATGTCCAGTCTCTTCAGCTTTACATGAGCTCAAGCTCTAAAAATAAATCGATGCGTTTCTTGGTTTCAAGGCTTTTTGGTGGTGTTAAATTAACAGTAACTGGAGGTGATTTTGTACCTGTAACATGGAATAAAATGACGTGGGTATTAGTTCAGTGAAGAACATTTTATCTGTTAAAACTAGAAAGCAGTATAAAGGCTTTCAGATGCATTTATCCTCTGGAGAGGAAGTGATATTCCCTCATTTCTGACATTGTATAAACCACACGCAGACTAAATTACAAAAAAACATTGGTACTGTTCTCCATCCTTATGGTACTGGTTTGTTTCTACCATTTATCAGTTCGAGGATTTTTTTCTCTGTCATTCGTGTTTAATGTAACATGCGGGCTCTGGTGCTGCAGATGCTTAAATGCTGTGTGGATATGAGTAATGCCATAAAAGTTGATGCACTATTTACGTAATTAAGGTTCTTGTGTATCCTTAAATGCTTGCAAGAATAAGATTTGGGTCAACATTTAATCTTCTCAGAGACACTGTTTTCCTGGAAGTAATTTAGAATTGTATCTAATTACTAAAATCCTGTTTCACAACACAGGTTTTTTCCAATATATATTGGATGTCTGTAACTTTCAAGATTGCTATAAAAGGGACCAAAATTTATTGTTTTCTGGAAAGTGCTTTCTGCTGTGTTAGTGCCACAGAGTTCGAGCTTTGTTTTCTTCCCAAGCTCATTGAGTGTGCTGCTTATTGCTGTAATTCACATCTCTCTTACGCTCTTTCCTTTCCCTCACCCTTAGTTTTCTTACTGGAAAACCCAAATCAGATTGTTATGTGATGATCAAGACTTGCTTCTTTTTCTCAACTTGCAGTGCTGCAGGCAGCACAGTTAGCAGTGAGTATTAGTAGTCTTCTTGCATACGTTTTAATTTACCCAGTCCGTTAAAAGTGGTGCTGTGTGTTCTAGAAGGATTTCTGTGTTGTACATCTATAGCTGGGGCCTGCTTTAAATAAAAGAGGAAGATTGAACACAACTTTTTCTCAGTCTTCGTTTTGAGCAAGTACAATTCTGCGGAACATAGTGTTCCATTTTGGGTGTGAGTGAAAGGATGTACTGTAGTTTAGAGTTCTTAGGCAGCAGTCTGGGAGCAATCATGTTGACAACCCTTACCTAATTTTTCATTGACCAATATCACCAAGTCCTTCTCTATAGGGCTGCTCTCTATCCATTCACCCCCCAGTCTGTACTAAAGCTGTTGACTGCCCCAGCCCCTGTGCAGGGCCTTGCACTTGGCCGTGTTGAACCTCATGAGGTTCACATGGACCCACTGCTCAAGCCTGTCAGGGTCTCTGGCTGGCATCCCTTCCTTCGAATAACTGATTGCACCACTCAGCTTGGTGTCATCTGCAAATGTGCTGAGGGTGCACGTGATCCCACTGTCATCAATAAAGGTATTAAACATGATACCGTTCTTCCCTTAGTGTTCTGTAGTTTTTCTGAGGCTCGTTAGATACAGCAGGGGACAACTGCACAGCACTGTGTTGCATGTCGAAATTCTTCCCGGAGAGGGTGGGGAGGCACGGGAACAGGTTGCCCAGAGAAGCTGTGGATGGCCCATCCCTGGAAGTGTTCAAGGCCAGGCTGGATGAGGCTTGGAGCAACCTGGTCTAGTGGAAGGTGTCCCTGCCCATGGCAGGGGGGTTGGAACTAGATGGTCTTTAAGGTCCCTTCCAACCCAAACCGTGCTGTGATTCTATGTCACCCGTTGCATTGTCTGTCAGTATAAAACACACAGCTGCAGCGTGAGACACGCATGTTAGGGAGTCATGTTATAAAGTGTGGATTATGAGAAGTTTTACATAGCCTTCTTAATTTGTATTTGCCAAGGGTATGAGCATGGGAATGTCTCTTAAACCAGCAACCGGGTTTCGCCGCGTTCCCCTTCAGACTGCTGTGTTGGGTTGCCGCTGTCCGTGGTACAGGAAGAGGTGCTGGTCCCTTCATAGCTCGGGTGCAGTTGTGCAACATGGAATGTGCTTCATACAGCTGTTCTGTTCAGCTCTAGAATGCTGGTGGCTGGGAACCCTGGCTCTTGTCTGTATCTCAGAGGCGTGCGGTTTGTACTCGACACAGCTGGTTTATTTTCTGTGGCAGAGCAACACGCATTTCAGGTGATTCTGCCCCTGTACTCTGCTCTCGTGAGACCCCACCTGGAGTGCTGCGTCCAGCTGTGGAACCCCCAATATCAGAAGGATATTGACCAGTTGGAGTGAGTCCAGAGGAGACCACGGAGATGATTCCAGGGCTGGAGCACCTCTCCTATGATGAAAGGCTGCAAGAATTGGGCTTGTTCAGCCTGGAGAAGAGAAGGCTCTGAGGAGACCTCATTGCAGCTTTCCAATACCTGAAGGGGCTACAAGGGTGCTGGGCGGGGACATTTTACAAGGGCCTGTAGTGACAGGACAAGGGGGAATGGGTATAAATTGAAAGTGGGGAGGGTTAGATTGGATATCAGGAAGAAGTTCTTCCCGGAGGGGGTGGGGAGGCACTGGGCCAGGTTGCCCAGAGAAGCTGTGGATGCCCCATCCCTGGAAGTGTCCAAGGCCAGGCTGGATGAGGCTGGGAGCAACCTGGTCTAGTGGAAGGTGTCCCTGCCCATGGCAGGGGGGGTGGGACTAGATGATCTTTAAGGTCCCTTTCAACCCAAGCCATTCTGTGATTCTGTGATGATTTAAGATGGAAATACTTCACTTTGTCTTGGGGCCTGTCAAGGTCTTGTATTGGTTAGTAGCACTCTGAAGATGATAATCCATTTATCAGTTTACTACATAATATTTCATGTAGCCAATAGGAATCAACCTTTCCTCTGTCAAAATTCAATCTGTGAGCAGTCACTGCTCTGCAATAACAAAAAGCATATCCAGTGACTGGATGTCTCCAGAAATTGTGTGATCCTGGTGCGTTCCTACTGTTGTCCTTTAGAATACTGTAAGTGTAGTCTTCCGAGGAGTTATTTATACCGCGGCTGCAGTTCTTGGAGATATATTTGTGTGTGAATGCATTAGCATCTTGGGTCTCCGGATTCTGTTCGTCTCAGTTATTACCTTGTAGTAGTGTTTATCCAATAGGATTCTACAAGACTAAAGTAACGTAGTAACACAAACTACTTTTCATCATAATTTTATTGTTTTAAAGTAAAAATCTGTGTGATGACTGTATTCACTCATCATGATTTCTGTTTCCTTCCAAGCTGGCCGTGGAATTCCCATCAGAAGACATTTTCTTAATGACTGCTTCCCCAGTTATAAAAGCTGTAACAAATTTCAAACAGGTAAGAGAGACTTAATTTTTCTTACAGTGAGACCTCTTCAGAAATTTCTATGTACACATAATTTAGAACCTAATCCTGAAAATGCTTATGATTTTGAACTTGTTGTCACACGAGTGTGACTGCAGTGGTGTTAGTAGGACTCACACAAGCGTGACTGCAGTGGTGTTAGTAGGACTGATGAGTATGATTCTCATACTCATACAGCAGTGTGTTTGAATTTTGGGCAGAAACAGACATCTGACAAATAACAAAAGAAGGGATAGCCTGGTGTGAAATTGCCTTCAGCTTTAGCTACACCTCCAGCAGCTGATGATTCAGTGACCTCTCCTGCTGGTTTGAAAAGGAAAATAAAATGCGTACGAGTTTGGATTTCTGGCTAGTAGGTTCATTAAGGTAGTTTTGCAGGGGCGCTCAGGTCTTGGAAAGCGCTGCTCTTTTTCCCCACTCTGAGGGAACTTTAAACTCTACCACAGGGTGAAGAAAGAGCTGGAGGCTTGATTGCACAGAATGCAGGGTGCAAAGCTGCCAGCCAGTAAGAAGTTAGGATTTATCTCTCAGGGCAAGTTAAGACACCTAGAGCTGGGCTTCCACCTGGCATTTATATTCCTGTCTCCTTCTCTGAAACACGGTGTCTAATAGGTGAGGTATAGCTCATGGCAAGTAAAGAAAGACCACGCTGCAGTTTATCCGACAGCCTGGTTTTAACGTAATTCTTCTTGTATGATTGCCTAATTCACATCGCCACGGAGGGGAAAAGCAGGCACAGAGAGATTTGAACAGCAGTTCTTTGCATTTAGTGGCTGTAAGTAGCTATCAGCATCTCTGCCTTTTTGCACTGTGGTTTTTTTATCTGGGGCTAATGGGTGCTCAGAGCACAGCTGAGGGACTGAAAGCTCTGTGTGAGACTGGTGGAGTAACACCCGGCTAAAGAACATCTTCTGAGCTTGAGAGTGCTGACAGGTAGGGTCATGAGTACCCAGAGAGACATTTACACATCGCAGAGACGTGAAGTCTCTAATTCACATCGACGCAAGTTTCGGTACCTGAATAATAATGGAATAGCTAAGTGCTTCTTGAAGGCAGCAGCATCTGAGTTTTGGACACGAGCAAATTCATTTCCCTCTGAACTGCAAGCATGGAGTGGCTTCTGGTTCCTAGCTGTGTTCCAGACTCTGAATATTCTATAAAGCAGAAGGCCTGGAGGTTTCTGTGTAGCTGCTCCCTTCTGGGAGAAACCCAAAATCAACATAACTTACTTGAATATTTTCCACGTTCTGGTTTGCCTCTTTTTTTCTTTAATCATTTTTATTTTCCTCACCAGTCTCTGAAATATCAGAGAGTGACTGTGGGTGAGGTGCTGAGTAAATGCTTTGAGGTGATCCTGAATCTGTCTTGCCTAAACACTTCTCTTGTACATCCTGCTTAGAAGATGAGCAACAGTGAGCACTTTTCCTGACATCCTGCATCAGGAGGTTTTTGAATCATTAGGGTTTTAAAGAAAATGTCACCAGCTTTTTTTTTTTTTTTTAAATAGAATAAAAGTATTTATTTCAGACAAAAGCGTTTCCGTAATTCTTTACACTATTTTGACCAAATTATTTTTTCTCCAAATGCTGCAGAGAGGAAGGTGCTTGCGTGGGAAAACATCATTATTTTATCAAAATCGTAACAAACAGGAAAAACAGGTTCTTCGCGCTGCATCAGGTCAGTTAAACAGCCGTGCTGCCAACCCTCATGATATAGTCTATCCATGGAGTAAGGCATTATGGCAGTCAGAGCAGCCGTTAGGGTTCTTCACTCTTGCTTCACCTCTAGCTGTAGAATTAAAATTTTCTGTACTACTTTGACTCTCTACCGGGAACAGGCATGCAGAGATTCTGCATACAAAAAGGGACCTTAGCAGTAACATGTTTTGAGACAACACGGGCTTTATGTTGTGACTGCTTTCCTGGAAACGAATGTGACACTTTTTTTGTACCAGCTTTAGGAAGAAAGAAGATGGATAAATGTTTCATATTTTTAAATACTTCTCATCTTCCTGCAGGTCTCCAAAACACTTGAGGAATTTGATGTAGAAGAGCAACCAAGTTCTCTGTTAGAAAAAAGATACCCCAATATTAAAGTTATACAGTCTGGAGTAAAACGATTGAAAAGCGATGAGCATGTAAGCTAATGTTTTCTCTTTTGTTTTATGTGGGTTTTTTCAAATTATTTATTAAAAAAATGAATCTAAGAAACAGTTGAATGTTTTGGGTGTGAAATTCTGTTCAAGAACGTTCTGGTTCTTGGAGTGTTACCAGAATTACAAGAAAATACTTCCTAACTTTAATTTCACTTACCGCTTGCACTGTTGTTCAAACAGAAATATATGCAGGGGACAAAATTAAAGATCAAAAATTACTTGTTAATTAAGAAACCGTATGTTTTGGATTTGAATCTTTGACACCTTAGAGATTGCACTGAACACCTGATTGGCACAGCAGCCAGACCAGTCAGTTGAACCAATACAGATGCGTGAAAACTTCTGTAACCGTGGAGAGATCTCCAATTCCTGAATTGCTGCTTGTTGCTACAGAGACCAAACTATTAGCAACTTCGTGATACCAAAAAAACCCAAAACAAAACAAAAAAAAACCTTGAAAGAACCAGCATTTACACCTTTCCTCCTTCCTTTTTAGCAGGAAATGTGTTGGGAGTATGAGCAATGCACAGCACGTACAGATCCCTGTTAGTGTCGTGTCGCCTCGACATACTATTTCTCACTTCAGCATTTATCAGAACCTCACATTCAGATCCAAAACTGGTTTTGCTCATTTTAAGTCACAGAGATGATTCCAGTTATATTCTGCTAATACTCAGATGATCCTGATGATACTCTTGAATCATGACTGTAATGGTGGTTTGGTTTAGGTCTGTCTCTGGGGACATGAATATTTCATGTATATGGATTTGGAGAATCTTTTGCCTGAAACCTTGAAGAACCCTCTGTGTGCAAAACCACTGTCAAGTATTTAGCTTTTAGTTTGGAAAACGACGAATAAGGTCTTAAATGTTAAATTTTCAATATCGCTGGTTGCAGAGGGATGTAGCTTGTTTAGTGTTTATCTTTTTCCTTAGCAAAGAGCAAAATTTGCGGTCTCTCTAAACTGTATTCCAGCATGTCCCTAGTTAAGTTAACACAGGTCTGCTGTCGTTGAAATGTTTTCAATGAGATTCCTAATTGCTCTTGTATAGTAGAGCACAGTTTACATCTGTTACTGGGGTGGGGGGACATCTGTCACACGGAAAACCTGTTCTTCTAGCACAGGCAGTGAGTACAGAGTGCCCCCAAGTGGTAATCTTTGTGTTTCATCTTTCTTTGAACCGTTTACACTTTCTCTTTTATCGGGCAGGTAACGTCACCTCCTTAGGTTTGTAAGTCTGTTGTGAGTGTAATGCAAGTCATTGAGACCCAGTCACTAAGTGTGCCAGTTAGAGCTTCTAATGCCTGCAAAATACTCTTGACATGAAGGAAAAAAAAAATGCTAATGTTCTCTTAGAAGTCTGCAATTGTTTTCTCTTCTATTTTCATTTTTAACAGAAAATTGTCACTGAAGATGGGAAAGAATATATGTATGAAAAACTCTGCCTGTGCGCTGGAGCAAAACCAAAGTTGATTTTGGAAGGAAACCCATATGTATTAGGAATCCGGGATACTGACAGTGCACAGGTAAATGTGTTTTGGACTTTGAGGTGTATAATACATTCTTGCTTCTGATGCAAAATACTAAAAATGATTGCAGAGTGAAATGGAAAACCACAAAATTATGCTTGTTATTATATATCCTTAAACAGGGACACTCTCAGTAGCAGAGAAATAGCTTTAAAATACCATTAAATAAATTGATGAGTCACTAAATTTATTAAGGTTATAGATTGCTTATAGAGGGTATTTCTAGCATGATACTGTAGAGTAAATGCTGTTCTTTTACCCTCCAGGCAGAAGCCAGTGTGAAAGTGTAAACGTGTGTCTGGTACACGGTACGAGGGGCTGCTTCTCACAGTGAAAAGCTACTGAAGGATATGGTTGTTTCTAATTTTACTCTAGCCTCTCCTCACTGTTCAGGAAAGAGTTACAGTCAAAGATGTGGAAAGGTTTTCACACAAGAAATTACTTAATATTCAGCTTGAAAGTAGAAGGGAGGTTTTGCTGCTGTAGGCCTTAAGAATTGGAGGAGGCAGAATGAAAGGGGAACACTCCTCCCTACAGTAAGAACTGTAATTCACCAAATGAAGTGTTGAGGATAAAAAAAGATGCTTTCTCAAGTAAACTGAAGTGAAACTATGAAATTGTTGTTTGCTTTGGGTATTAAAACTTTACCTGAGATACAAGAACAGAAGGGAAATCAAACCCCACAAAAAAGGCAGCCTTTGATACCTTGTCTAAATTGAAAAGAGAAACGCCACCCGAGTGGCACCAGTGGTGTCTGGAACCTGTGAGGGTGTCCCAGGGTGCTATCGTCATGTACTTACTGTCTTTGGATAGTCCTGCCTGTGCATCCGCTGTTGGCCACTGTGGGAAACAGCAAACTGGGCCATCGTCCTCCTCAAAACCGATGTTGAACTTTGAATGAGGCTGAAAATACTTGGGGCTGGTTTTGGGGTTATTTTTTTTTTAACGGTGACTGCGTTCACTCCTCCTCTCCGACACAACTCACGTGCCAGTGTCTGAAGGGATCGAAGGGCTGCAGTTTTCATGGCCTTTTACGCTTTAGGTTCTCCGATACTGCTGGTCAGGTGAACTGGACGCATGGATGAACGGATTTTTGTGTAATTGCAGTAGTTGCTCTGGTAGTCGTGACTCTTGGTTTGTTTGAATCCTTGAATCTTTGGAGTGGTTATATTATGATCTAAAAATACTATCCGGGCTATTTTTCATTTCTCTCACTACTGAGATGGATTTGGGGACTTGCTTCTTTCTGAAAGTTTTCTTCATGAATAGAATTAGTTCTTTGATTTTCTACAAATTAGTTTTTCAATCGCTGATTTCTGATCAGGCGTTTTAAAATTCCTCAATTTCTGTACCGTTGCCATTTTATGCAAATTCCTGTGAAGGTTATGCAAGTTGTGATAAAACTGGAATAACAGGTATCACAGCACTAATGGTCTCTAGGGCAGAAGGTCTCCTGGATGCTACCAAGGGCCCTGTCAAATGGCTTAGGTGTAATTATTTACCAGGGCTCAGGCTGAGACTGGTACGGCTGTATCAATGACTTCATCCCGCACCCGCTTCATGAGCTTCTGTAGCAGATCTTGGCTTAAGTAAACGTGTGTCGGTAGCCTGAGAAAATGAAAAGACTAAAAAGAGCAAGAAAATACTGAAAAGGATATACTTGATGAGAGTTGAGGGAATGTATGATGGAAGTTGTAATTGACTTTTCTCTTAATGCAGGCTTTTCAGAAGAATCTGGCTCAGGCCGAGAGGATAGTAGTGGTAGGAAACGGTGGGATCGCGCTTGAATTAGTGTAAGTAAAGCGCTAAGTTTTAAAGATAAATATACAAGTAGAATCCTTAACAATTCGATGTTAAATCTGTTGTGCCTTACTTTGGGAGAAGACTGATGTACACAATTACAGCTCTAAAAGCATTCAGTAGCAAAATTGATTAAAATTTTTTTTTTCATGGAGGTGCTTACTGCCACATAAGATACAGCGTGCCTCAAAAGAAATTTTGACACAGATCAAGAATATACAGCCTTTTCCTGATTTGGGACTCACAGAGATTTCTGTTAAGACCATAAAGGCCAATATTAAAGTTACTAAAACTTGTCTGACTTCAGTGGTCAGAATTCTAGAACGGTTTGGGTTGGAAGGGACCTTAAAGACCATCCAGTTCCAACCCCCTGCCATGGGCAGGGACACCTTCCACTAGACCAGGTTGCTCCAAGCCTCATCCAGCCTGGCCTTGAACACTTCCAGGGATGGGCCATCCACAGCTTCTCTGGGCAACCTGTCCCAGTGCCTCCCCACCCTCTCCGCGAAGAACTGCTTCCTGATATCCAAGCTAAACCTCCCCACTTTCAATTTAAACCCGTTACCCCTTGTCCTGTCACTCCAGGCCCTTGTAAAAAGTCCCCCCCGGCTTCCTTGTACCCCCTTCAGGCACTGGAAGGTGCTATAAGGTCTCCCCGGACCCTTCTCTTCTCCAGGCTGAACAAGCCCAACTCTCCCAGCCTGTCCCCATAGGAGAGGTGCTCCAGCCCTCGGAGCATCTCCGTGGCCTCCTCTGGACTCGCTCCAACTGGTCTATATCCTTCTGATGCTGAGGGTTCCACAGCTGGACGCAGCACTCCAGGTGGGGTCTCACAAGAGCAGAGCAGAGGGGGAGAATCCCCTCCCTCAACCTGCTGGCCACACCTAAGACACAACACGCAGAAGATGATAGAACAGAAATAGAGAGGCACCTTGTCTTGCACCCATCCTGATTTCAGTTGAAGAGCTTTTGAAGTGTCTGACATGGCCATTGTTACAGACCGGACACTGAACCACATGGTCCTGCAGTCTGCTAGAATACAGACACATCTGTATGGCACAGTTACACGGTCTTGTGCTGCGTTGCAGGAATCACTTTTTCACTTTCACTGGATTTGTCCTCTGCATGTGTCCAACAGTTCACGTTCCACACAGTACGAACAAGGTGCAAGTGCAGGTTCTCAGCAGTGAGCAGTCTGTCAAAAATGAACTTTTTTTTTTCCATTGTGTGGCGCAAGATGATACTGGTTTTGTTATTATTATATCTGCTTTCCCGCAGCCTGTTTCAATTAGGGTTGGTAGTGTTGAGAAAATACAATCTGTCAACATGAAGAGATACTTTTGTGTCCCTTATGTAAATATTTAGAAGCAGTAGTGGATTTGATAGGCTTGAAGGTCTTGGATTTCTCATTTCTAGTTTCTGGAATGAACCCTGGCACGCTCCTGGTTGTGTGGAGTCAGAATCTCTTTGGGTAGTCTTCTCACTTTACCTATTGTTTAAACATCCGCAGGTACGAAATCCAGGGCTGCGAAGTAATCTGGGCTATCAAAGACAAAGCCATTGGGAACACGTTTTTTGACGCAGGAGCAGCTGAATTCCTTATTCCAAAGTTAACTGCTGAAAACCGGGAGACTCCAATTGAATGTAAAAGAACCAGGTATACGGTGGAAGGTACGGTGTCGTAGTCTCCTAACTGCAGCAGCAGCATTTAATATTAAAGATCGTCCTAAGATCAGTTAAATTAACAAGCTGTAACTAAGCTGTTAGCAGCAATGGAATTTCCTTCAAAAAAATAAAAGCGAGAAAAGGTACAAATACCGATCCAGAATTAATGTAGACACGCAACAGCATGTGATAGCATTACCTAAACCCTGTAAAAATGTCTTGTTATCTGTGCCAAGTTTACATCTCGTTTCCTGTATTCCATCTGCTGAAGAACCTGTTCATTTTTCTGGGATGCCTTAGCTTTTGCCTGCAGTACGTCAGCATGAGGTGGGAAGGAGCTCTCCCGTAATAAGCTGTTGGAGGACCAGATGAAACCTCACAGGTGGTTGTTACAGATGCAGGGAAACTGCGGTCTTCCTAAAAACAGTTAACTGGAACTGCATGACCAAACATTAGGCAAACATAGGGCCCAAACAACAAGAGAGGAGCAGCTTGGTTCTAGACTTCGGGTTGGAAGAATAAATTGTAAGAGGGTCAGCCTAAACGTCAGCAAGTGGCACCTGAGGTTCTTCACACGGGTGGTGGCGCGTTAGGGTTTGCACGGGCGGGCGGGGGAGGGGGTTGCACCTTTGCCAGCAGGTGGGTGTCACTTTAAACGCTAGCAGTGATGTTACGCAGCTTCGGTCCGTAGTGGGTCTCCAGAGCCCTGGTGCCCTTGGGGGTCTGGCTGTTAGGGGCCCATGCAGGCACCCAACAGTGGCAGGGGCGTTTCAGAGATCAGTGAAGGAATGAAAGGCATAACGTTGAAAGGTGTTAAAAACAGTGGTTTGGAGTCCAGTTTGTCTGCAAATTAATGGGTTTTGGGACATTACGCATTTTTTACTTCCCTTTCGGCAACCAGATCATCCTTCTTTTCTTTGAGAATCCTTGTTCTGCATTCTGTGAAGTATGCACGCTAAATATGATATTCTCCATCTCTTTCCTTCAGGAAGTGAGGAAGAAGAAAGACCTGTAGCAGCAGGTGACAAACTGGGCAGTGCCTTAGGCCCCGACTGGCATGAGGGCTTACACCTTAAAGGGACTAAAGAGGTACGGCCCTCATCTTGTTCACACACTCGCTCCAAGTGGGTATGGATGACAGAACGTGAAACGTCACATTCAGGATTCTTAGAAATGTAAAAACAAAATGGTGCTTGAACCGATTCTCCTGTCAGAATTAAACAGGCAGATAACGTTAACACTAACACAGCAATTGTCTGCTTCAGAGAAAAGGCCTTTCAAAGGCATCGGTCGTAGTTTTTACAGAAACGGCTTTGGGTACCAACTGAAGGACGCTGAGGTTATTCAGCAGATAAAGCAGTGGTGTCTTGGCTGTGGGAATGTGTTTGTGTAGTGGAGAATAAAACCATGTGAGGCCTGAATCCACGAAACAGTTCAGAGAAACAGGTAACTTTCCAACTCTGTTTCAAGCTCGGAATAGGAGTAAGTGGTTGAAACGTGGGTTACACTGTCAGAATATATATTCTTCTTTTTACAGCAGTTAGAACATAATTATTGTTATCAGAATTTAACTCATGATGGAAAGATGAAGGATTTGAAATCCTGGAAGATAGAAAATAATTTACTTTTGCTTTGCCCTGATAAATTCTACATTCTATTCCTGTAAACTCAGGGGAACTTGAATACGTTTTCTGGCACACCAGAAAAATCTAAATTGTCATGACGTTTCAAGGGACATCACAAATCTGCTGAAAAAGCAGGTAAATTGTCATTTGCTGCTGTTAGATCTGTGCCAGAAAAAGGAAAAAGTGTAGGAGCTCAGCTAATGTGCCGTGCTTTAGGATGCTTGGGATTTTTCTGTTTGTTTTGTGTCCCCCCTGGTTTAGTAACGCGTTGGTTTAGGTGGAGGTATATCTGCCATGAAAATCAATTGTTATTGCTAATCATCACGTTTACAATTTGGTCCATCTTTTCTTTAGTTTTCTCATAAAGTTCATATTGAAATACTGTGTGAAGTAAAGAAAATACACTTACAACAAGAATTTACACAACTGCAGCGGACTTCTTTGGCTTTTCCTAAGGAAGAGAAAAACGTAGAGCCAGATGAGGGTAGGTGCCAGTGCTGGTTAGAAATAACGTGTTAAGATAAAGCAGTGCTGGAGCATGTTTGGTCATGTTTGTGATTTTAGAGCAAATACAGATTTGGAAAACAAATCCTTTATTTCTGTATTAAATGGAGCTCTAGCAATTTATAGTAGTTGAGAATTTGATTTATGGGCTACAATTAAATTGCAAAATGTTATGCATCACACCCTTTTCCCACAAAGTCACTGAAGTAGTGTATGCACAAGGTTCCCTCCTTGTGACAGTCCATAAGATCATACATTGAAATTGAACGTGGGGAGGTTTAGGTTGGATGGCAGGGAGAAATTATTCCCAGAGAGGGTGGTGAGGCACTGGGACAGGTTGCCCAGAGAAGCTGTGGATGCCCCATCCCTGGAAGTGTCCAAGGCCAGGCTGGATGAGGCTTTGAGCAACCTGGTCTAGTGGAAGGTGTCCCTGCCCATGGCAGGGGGGTTGGAACTGGATGGTCTTTAAGGTCCCTTCCAACCCAAACCATTCTGTGATTCTACGGTATGATTCTATACATTAATAGTGGAGTTAAAAGGGAAAAAAACCCCAAACCCACCAACTTTTAGTGTCAGAAGTGAAGTAAGCCTTGAAAGAAAGTAGTTTCCAATAATAATTACATCTTTAAATTTCGCTGACCAAAATGTAGTATTTAAAATACTACTTTAATAGCCACTTACTTTCAGCGAAAGGTCCTAGCAAGTCAAATCTCTGACGTTCTTTCTGCTTTTGAGGCGTTTCTTGTGCGTGTGTAAACTTACGTGCAGAAAGTATTGGCAGTTGCAGGCTTCAGAGAACATTCAGTCTGAAGCAGTGGCAGGGCAGCATTTTCCCCTTACAAAGAGAACTTTGAAAATTCCAGAGAAAGTTAACACTAGCGCTTGGAACTAAGTTCCAAAATCTTTTTATTTTAGTCCTGAGTGAAGGTAAAACATGTTACAGGTAATCTCCTTTTCTGATGTGTTTTTGTTTGGTTGGTTTGGTTTTATTTTTATTTTCCCCTATTTAATTAGATATCTCGAAAGATTCTTTTTCTATTTCATGTCTTACTGTAAGACCTAGTTAATAAAATACCTTCTGTTGGTTACATTCTCAGGGCAAAATTTTCCCCTTTTTCAGTGCTGTGGCCTGTGTATGTGGAATTAACTAACGGGAAGATTTATGGATGCGACTTCATTGTCAGTGCAACCGGGGTCGTGCCAAATGTTAAACCATTTCTTGATGGCAACAATGTAAGTATACGGATTTCTTCTGAAGCTTAACCTTTTTAAAGTAAAGTGAAATAAGCCCTTTCAGCTGATTTATGCTTCTGGCATGAAACTGATGGATAAAGGTTTTAAATGTTGTACAGCATTTCAAAATTGTTGCTACTGTGATACTTAATGTGATAAAAATTTACTTCATTTGCTGTTTTTGGCTCATTATATTGCTGCTGCTGATACGTACTGATTCGCTGTGTATATATATGATTACGTTGCTAGGATTGGGCCTGTCAAAGTGGGAAAAACCGATCTGTGTAATCAGTTAAGGTGGCAAAAATGTGCAATAATTTTTGGGTTAATCCTGCACCACATTCTTACCTTACAAATCTTAACTGCTTCCTTCCCAGGAGAAAATGTTATTTCCAATGTTCTTCATCTGGGAAGCAGCTCTAAAGGCGCTGGTATGCATGAGGGGAAGTCAAGCTCTTGAATCAGCATCCCAACATGGATGCTGATGACGGAGTTCATAGCTGCCAGGCGCAGTGTCAGGCCTTGAGATCATTCTGTCTCTGTGTTAGGTGGCTGGTTTAACCCCAGGCAGCAGCTCAGCACCACACAGCTGCTCACTCACTCTTCCCGCCATGGGGTGGGGCAAGAGAGGGGTTAAAATTGAGAAAACTCAGAGTTTGAGATAAAGACAATTTAGGCAAAGCAGAAGCTGCACATCCAAGCAAAGCAAACTAAGGAATTCCTTTGCTGTTTGCCATCAGCAGGGAGATGTTTACCATTTCCAGGAAAGCAGGGCTTGCAGGCACTAACGGTTACTTGGGAAGATAAACGCCGTAACTCCTGAACATCCCTCCCCTCGTCTTCTTCCCCCAGCTGCATACGCTGAGCATGACATCATATGCTGTGCAATATCCCTTTGGGCAGCTGGGGTCAGCTGCCCCGGCTGTGTCCCCCCCAGCCTACCCACTGGGGGGTGCTGTGAGGGGCAGAAAAGGCCTGGATTCTGTGTAACCGAGTACTCAGCAGTAACAAAATCACCCCTGGGTTATCAGCACTGTTTTCGGCACAGATCCCAAACACAGCCCCGTACCAGCTACTGTGAAGAAAATTAACTTTCTGCTTTGGTAGGCTGATTTTGTCTGCTTATTTAAAGGGTTCTAGGTTTGATAAATTCAGGAACTGATGATAAATTCTGTAGGGGCCAGGGTTGCAATTAGCTATGGAGAAGTAATAGTTTCTGTGTAAACAGTTGTGAAAAATACTTCCTTATGGCACTCTTGGGGGCATCTGTTTCCTTCCCGTGAAGATGAAGGAGTCTCCAGATGGTGAGGCTTGAACGACTTGTTTCTCGTGTGGTTATCAGTCTTTTCTCAGAGTCAGATGAGGTGGGAGAACGAACAGCCAGACATTGTTTACACTGAACGACCTTTTTCTGTTACGTGGCATCCAGAACAGCATCTTGCTGGGTTCCCTTTGTATTGCCTCCTGTCATCTTATATCTTAAAATGGTTTTTTGAGCAGAATAGTGAATTTCTCCAAATTTTTTAGGAGTCTGCCATGAAAAAGTAAAGAGATATGACTGTTTAACGTGGGTGAAGTTGAATTACTTAGTTGAAATGATTATTTTTCCTCAGTACTGATCTGTGCAAATCCTTCAGTTTGCTCTAGGTGAAGATGGAGGTCTTAAAGTAGATAAACACATGCACACGTCCCTGCCGGACGTCTATGCGGCTGGGGATATCTGCACAGCCTCGTGGGAGCCCAGTCCAGCGTGGCATCAGGTAAAGCACATCATACGCTAGTGTGCCCAGCAGCGCTGCGAGCCACCCAGTAATGACACGATGGGAGAAAAGAAAGTGTGATTGAAGTGGAAACCAGGGAACAAGATCCTGGGTGTGTTGATGACATGGGATGATCTCTGCGGCTGGAAGCCAAGCTCTTCGGCCTTTCCGAGTATAATACAAGTACAGGCTGGGCAGAGA